AGGACGAGTTGGACATGCCTCTGGCGATTGTCCTCCTGGTGGTCCGTGAGACGGAGGCGCCGGACGAGGGCCCTGAGAACATCCACGACGAGCTGACGGCTCTCATGATGGGTAAGATAGAGGAGAGGCTGGTCCTGAGGGGCATTGAGGACGCCAACGAGAAGATCCAGGAGTACCACGAGTTCCAGAAGGAAGTCGCTCCCTGGGGCGTGAAGAGGCTGGAAAGTGACCGAAGAGCAGAGGGCGTAGAGAAGTTAAAAGCAAAGTGCATCAGTCTCAACCTCCCACACAGAGAAATGCTGTCGGGCTTTCTCGTTTCGAAAAAATCATAATAAACACTGTTTATGTCTTAAATTATACGTCAACATCATGTAGTTGATGGCTTTGTTGTCTATGCATTGTTATGTCTGAAAAGATAGTGTATGTGTGTAAGAGGGCACCGAATAATAGAGCATATGAAACCAAAGTTATCTGTAACTGCTTAACAAATTTGTATTTTAAAAAATCAGTGCAACATCTACTTTTGCTATATCACGAACTACCATGCTTAGGCCAAGTGCAGTTCCTCTCCCTGCAACTTACACAAGCAGATACTCATTCTGTCAGATCGCAAGGACTTAGAAATGGCCAGGAGAGTCGACGTACTTGGACAAACAGTTACAGTCAGTCTTCCACGCTACCGATTGTTACGATGAACAAAAGGAATATCAAGCTGGAAAATGAAGGCAAGAGGCCTAGGAAACATCGTGCTGTCTCTTTCTAAAGCATGGCCATACCTGCTCAGTCTTTCTCAGCCGAAAATCCCAAGCTGACACAGCTGCAGAGATGCAGTTGTGTCCCGAGATCTCCAGCCAGCTGGGACCTGAAGAAGGACTCGTCGTCGGGAGGAGAGTGGCGAAGCGGATTCGGCTCCCGCAGAGTCTCGGCTCTTTAGGTGAGTCGGTGTTGAGAGTCAAGTCCATCTCTACTATTTCTTGATTTCCCCTTGCCTTTGGACAACGCGATTTCAATAAGAAAGGGTGCTACGACTAAGAAATGGGTTATCAAAATCCCAGAGATTCTTCATTGGAAATGTACAATAATCAAAGAGAAAAAATACTTTGATCTAATCTTAGCCTTAGAGGAGAAGGGTAATGCAAAAAATGATCTCAAAAATAGTTCTAGCTGCATTCACCCCCAAATCATTATACGTCACTATCTAGCTGCGAGAATGATTAAATTCTCCCACAGAGGTTCCTCCATATCGAGGTCGGTATTATCTAACCTAATCTAACCCAACTTAACCTAATTTATCCTAACCCAACCCACCCTAACCTAATTGAAAGTGCTATCACCTCTTGTCGCCAGAACACCAGTTGGAGGCTTTTATGCCGTACTCATTGCCTTATTATTATTATTATTATTATCATTGTCATATCTATTATTGTTGTTGATATTAGTATCATAATTTTTATTGGTATTATTATTATTATTAGAATTATTATTATTATTATTATTGTTGTTATTATTATAATCATAATTGTCATTATGATAATGACCCTAATGATATTCATAATTGTTATTATTTTCATTATGATAATGACAGCAATGATAATGATTAAAGTAATGATAGTAATAACAATAATAATAATGATGATGATAATAATAATGATTATTATTATTATCAGCAATATTGTTATAAGCAGTATCATTATCATTGTTATTATTATAATAATTGTTTTCATTATTATTATTGCTATTATTATTATTATTATTATTATTATTACTATTATCATTATTATTATTATTACTATAATCATTATTATTATTATCATTATTATTATTATTATTGTTATTAATATTATTATTATCATCATCATTATTGTTATTATTATTATTATCATTGCTATTATTTTCTTTCATAATGATTATGATAATAATTTATTTTTTTCTCCTTATTGTTATTGTTATTATTTTTTACGATTCTTTGATTTTGTAAATTCTATCATCGACATTATTATTATCAATTATTATTATTATTATTATTATTATTGTCATTATCATTATTATTATTGATATTATTACTATTATTATAATTATTGTTATTGTTATTATTATTATTATTAGTAGTAGTAGTAGTATTATCATTATTATTATTATTATTATTATTATTATTATTATTATTATTATTATTATTATCATTGTTGTTGTTGTTGTTGCTATTGTTAGTATTATTATTACTATTCTTGCTATTATTGTTGTTATTATTGTTATTACTACTTTAATTATTATTATCATTATTATACATTATCATTATTAGTATTGTTTTTGCAATCATGATCACTAATATTGTTATTGTTATTAGTATTATTTTTAATACTGCATTTATTTCATCACTGCCATTATTATTATTATTATTATTATTATTATTATTGTTATTACTAATATTATATTATCATCATCATTATTATATTATCATTATTATTATTACTATACTATTGTTATGTTATTGGTATTCCTA